AAATATATATTAAATAATGTATTACTATTATTCTCATCAGGATTTCTCCGTCCTGTTAATTTTAATCAAATGTTTGTCTAAAGTCGCTTTATATGTTAGGAGTTCCGAGTATTTTTTAAGAAGTTTCTCCCAAAATTGCTCAATGTCTGCCATCCTCAAATTATTCCATATGAAATCTCTTCCACGGTCTGCAATTGTTTTCGATAATTTATCATTATGTATAACAAACTGTATCAACGACCTGTAAATGTGTACAGTAAATACGATAAATGATAAAAATAGCGATACTTTGTAAAACAATGAATTTGAATTTAAAAATACATAGTAGTAACTTACTCTAACACCGTTTGATCAGCATCTTTCGGAACGGGAATGTAATGTAACCAAGGTAACATCGCATCGTAATAAAATTCAGTCCATTCATCACCAACGTGGAATACTAACGATCGGCACAGAAATAAGTGTTTGTGCCTAAACGAGGCTGCAACACCTCGATAATTAAATAAGTATTTGTAATTACAGTGTGCTTCCAACGGAACTTCAGACGCCGGAGGCGCATACAACGTATCCTAATAGCGGCAATAATAATAATAATAATGTGCAACATTCATCTATCAACGAAATAGCCTGAATTAGCCAGAAATGCAAACAGGAGATTATTACTTCGTCAGACTTCCATGCTTGATTTTTTGTATACCGAGCATCTACCAACTCTGGCCTTTTACGGCTTAATAATACTAAATTGTCACGTTCCGCGCTTGTTCTGGAACCACGAAAAAACGCTTTATTTTCTTTTCTCTCCCAAACTGTATTATTGCTAGCTTTATCCAATGATCGACGGTGCTCGTCCCACCTCCCAAGACCACGGGGATACAAAGAAATTGCAGGGCCACCTTCCCAGAATGACCATGCTGGATATGTAATATCATAATACTGTCGAGTCTACAAATATATATTATGTTACTGAATGTAAACTGAATTTTCTTCATATCTACAAACAAGTGTTTAAGAATCTCTAGACATGATTGATCATATGGAATGAATTTTGCTTGCCTTACTGAATGAAAAGATAGGTAAAGGGCTCCCAAAATGTTTACTGGATTGTGGATAATCTCTTACATTTATAACCAAATCCATATCTGGCAGTCGAGGAGCGAGTTTTAAGATAAAGTGCTCTATACCTGCACATCTTGAAGGAAACATGCACTCTTTCTGTCTGTACAATTTCCCATCTATTATCTGATAAAAGGTTCCCCTACAAAAAGTCATCTAGCTTTTAATAAAACGTTCCATCATATCCGTAATCATTGTATTGTACACCTACCTATTTTTTGCGATACTTATTAAATCTTTGTTTATACCCTCTTCCTTAAAAGGTTTCAAATCACGTAAAATAATATTGTTGTAACAATCATTGTTATTATTATTACAGGTATTGTAATAATTATTTTCTGCTTCCTCAATAGCATTATAATATTTCGTATACTGCTCATTTAAAACTGAAGAAAGGAACTGTTAATACACAACAGACAATCAAGAAATCTGAGAAGAGGGCATGTTCAAGTACCTTTTTTATATTGTATATTACATTCTTTTTTCTCACCACATGCTGCTGTACTATCAACGGAACAATATTCTTCTTCGCAATTGGCTATCCAAAAAGTAGTTAATAAAATAATATAATTT